GTAAGCGTATACAGTAATTATAATCGGCAACATTATAAGTCCAAGTAGGACAAGATTTGAGATTACATCTTCAGTGCGACTCTGCTTACGTACGTACGTCATCAAACTAGTGCAAGTACATACAGTACAGGATTTGATTTTAAGTATGGAATTAATGAAATATCGCATCTATATTACACACTTAAGAGGGAGAATAATATGAATAAACATATTTATAAGTCACTAAGTAAAGAAAGCAGTTTATATTCAACTGATTTAAAAACTGCACCTCATTATACCATACAATATGCAAATAAGAGATATAATTCATCCGCTAATGTGATATAAATTCGGTTAGAATGATTATTCTAGGAACATAAATGTATTGTTACAGAAAATTGGTAATATAGTTATCAAAAATGGAGTTCTAAAGTTCTAATCATCATATAATGGTTTCTTCACTATTATAGCAACTAAAACCAAAAAAAAACAAAGACTTTCATACTTCTATTGTAGCCACGGAAACAAAAACAAAAACGGTTTCAACAGTGGGCGGTACATAATTTCAAAATGGCTCTTTTTCAGAAGAATTATTAATATTTTGTAGTTGTAGGTTTGCGATTTCAAAAGTGGGTAAATTTGTGATTTCAATAGTCACGTAGGTTCGTGATTTCAATAGTTGGTGTTTATTATTGCAATGTGAGTACTAACACGTTATTTTGCATAATTAATTTTTGAAAATTATTTTGTTAAAAATTTTAATTGATGTATACATTTTCGCATTTTAATAAAAATAGTTATTGGATACGAAGTATCCAATAACAACGATCGGTCATAATATGGAGCGAATAAAACAAAAGTTTTTAATTAAATTAAATAAAAGATAATAAGCTGACTCTAAACATAACGAACTTTCTTATAACGAAATCTGGATATAATGAACTCAAAACTTTTAAATTTCAGTATAGTTCAGTATACAAAGTGCAAAGGTTCTTAGTAAAACATAGTAATTTTTTATAACAAATTTTTTTTTCTTTCAGAATCTTCAGTTCGTTATAAAAAGTGTTGACTGTATGTATAAAATCGAAAATATCCAGAGAATTTTAAAATACCGCTTTACCAGAGAATTTTAAATGTAAAAAATGAGATTCATTGGGTCACTAAGTAAAAGTGATTTTACTATAAAAACTACTTAATCTAACCGCAACCCTAATATCCAGGGATGGCA